ATCTTTTATTTAAAAATACTAAAATTAATACCAATACATTTTATTTTCTGATTTTCATTTTATTTTATCTTTTGAAAATATTTTATGAAAATATATTTTTTTTGTAAATATTAAATATTTTATTTTTGTATATATTTAATATATTTATCATATAATATAAATATTTATATATTTATTAGGATATTTAGGATAAAAATACCAAAATATATACATCTTTATTTTTATTAATATTTAACATTAAAAATACCTTTTTGACAAATATACTTCTCTTTTATTTATTTTTGTACATAATTAAGAAATATTACATATATTATATAATAAACACTTTTTATTTATAAAATTAGGGTTTTACCCTAGATCCATAAAAATACCAAAAATACATTAATTTTTATTTTTATATATGATAAACATTTTTTTACATACATATGAAAACCTTTTTGAATTTTTACATATTTATTTTATTTCATTTGAGTATTGTGTAAATAAATACCTTGCAAAATTCCAAGTTTGATGTAATAGTCTAGGATTTTAATTCTTGTCAAAATACCCCCATTTGAACATTTGTACCCCCCTTCCCATATATTGTGTTGTAATAACTTAGGAACTTTATTTTTCGCACTTTAGAGCTTTCTAATTATGCCATGTTAGAATTAGGGTTTGTATGCAAATCAATTAACCAAAAATAGTTTGACCTAAATTCAAGATAAACAAGCATGAAAATGGACAACACTAATCACACTTGCACCCCTAGGGTATTCCACTTGTTGCCTTCAATAATGGGCCATATTGCATGTTAGGTCTCTTTGGGCAAAACAAAACAATTCAATGATCATAGTCCCTCGTTGACGCTTTCGAAAGTTGCCTAAAAATGATCAAGTCCCTTAAAGGAAAATTGCCCAAAGATACTTGTCACCATTGCAATCATGGTCTAAACGATGACCCGCGCCCGTCCCGTTAACATCCTAACACAAGATTGTCCACCAAATGCAATGGTGGAACAAAATTGTTAAAAGGGTTAAAACATAGCAAAAATCTTTGAGAACTTTAGGGTAGATAGCTCTTGAGTACTTGTCAACTTGCAAAACAAAAACACTTGCCTATTTTTCAAACCACACATCACTACACTTTCAAAACAACTTTCAAAAAACCTTGAAACATCTTTTCAAAAAGACAAACACCTTTTGTAAAACATTCGAGTAAAGAATTGTTACAAGGGTTGCCTAGACAAGGCATCTTTTTTTTTTTCAAAACATTTTCAAAACCACGCACAAAGCACCATTTCAAACAATTGAAAATCAAGGCAAGTTGATCTAAGCAAGTAACTAAGAGCCCATGGATAACCATGGATAGAAAGGGTGCTAATACCTTCCCTTTCTATAATCTACTCCCCGAACCCAAGAAAACATCTCAAAGGTTTTTGCTGTGCTTTTTTAACCTTTCCTTAGGATAAAATAAAAAGTCGGTGGCGACTCTTGCTCAACCGAAACATTTGCGAAAACAAACGCAAAACCCTAGTCAGTTCTCCCACCGTATCACAGAGACAATCGCCTCCAGTTGGGGTCGAGGGGACAACGAAGATTAGGGTTTGTAGATTGAAGAAGAAGGAGAGAAAATAAAATAAAGGAGTGGGGCTGAGAGAGAAAGATAGACGAAAATGAAAAAATGTTTATAAAACAAATAATATAATGTTGTATGATACCATGCGCGCAAGCCTACAATTGTTATCACGCTCCCTTAATCATACTCGTACGATCACTATCACACGCTTAGAAACACGCGCGCCCATGATATCACATTGTACTCGTCCGCACGGTGTCCATGCGTACTCCCAAAACCATTTTGGGCCCGACCCATTGCTTAATGAACCTCCTTTCCATTTTATTTTGCTAAGTAGCACAAAACAACACCCTCTTTGCCCAATGAGCCCAGTTAAAAATCTGGACTTGGGCCCTTACTGCTCGCACACCCCATATTTACTAACACGCTCAAATTCAAACCCCATGTCTTATTGGTCCTGAATTCAGGACCCTAATACTTACACTCCCCCCATTTTTACTAGCCCAACCTAATTTGCACCCCCTGCAATTTTAATATTTTATTTTTATACTTTATGTTTTTATATATTTATAGATTATTTTAATATTATATTTACTATTATTATAATACATCAAATTTTATTTTTTCTAAAACTCATCAAATATTCTATTTATTTATTTGCATTAAAAATATTTTTTAGAATGCATTAATAAAACATTTTTTGCAATTAATAAATTATAACATATTTAACCAACACCAAATAATTTTTATGATTAAATTAATTCAACAATTAATTTTTAAAAAAGGATTATAGATATATTTTAATCAATTGCACGCTTCGATATTCACACACTTGGGCTAACTACAAGGAGAATTAAAATATCTTCGTAATCTATAAAAAAACACAAACACATATGAACTACAAATTGAGACTCGAATTCCTCATAAGAGGATACGTAGGAATATGACTAAAATTATGGCGAGTTCCCCTAATAAAAAACTAAAACCCTATTTCCTAAAATTTGCGCTTCTAACCCTAGTATCCTTGTGAACAAGGTAGATGAGGGGTGCCTAACATCTTCCCTTCGTCTAGAACCGACTCCAAAAAAACCTAGAATCTCTAACTTTTTAGGGTTATCTTTTATATTCCCTTCCTTAGGATAAAAATTAAGGGTGACGACTCTTATTTTAAAACCAATTACAACAAAAGGTTGAACATGAAGTAGATGAATGTACACACAAGGCGGTAATATGTTTCAACTGTGGCGAAGAGGGACATATCAGTATTGTAAGTTCCTTAGCTTTTAATGATTGACATTAATTTTTGTAAAAAAAAATATAGTAGCAATATGTTACATAGAATGAGTTATCTTGCTAACAGGAACAAATTGAGCAAGAAGTCATATCTTATGTTGGAACATGTTGAGTTGAAGTATTTCAACATCTGGAGCAACATGTCAGAAAAGATGTCCTATGCAGGGTCATACGACATCGCGCCTGAGCTGAACTAGAATGTTATATTTTGTTAAGTCACAGAGACATAATATACTTTGAGGATATTATATTATCCTATGTGGCGTTGTTTTGTAGGTCAAGAAGAATCAAGAAAAATATTGACTTTCTAAATATGGAAATAATTTAGGAAGATTTGATTAAAGACATATTTTGTAGAAGAATTTTTTGCTGTTTGTAACAGCCAAAGGGTTGTGTTTTGAAGGCCCAAATCCATTTGGGTATAGGTTATAAGTAGAAGCTTTGTAATCTAGGATTTATATCATCCAAGAATTTAAAAGATGTAATCATTAGGGCTGAGTCTGTTAGCCACTCTTTAGGAGAGTTGGTGTGTGTGAACCACTCGGGTTGTGAGATGGTCATTGTGTTCTCCTCAAAGATGTGAAGCAAGAGTGATTATTGTTCTTGGAGGAAGCTTTGAAGAAACTCCAATTTGTGGTCTTAGTCAAGAGTCTTGGCTAGTGATTGTCATAGAAGTGTGTCTTCCTATTTGTTCAGAATTGTGTTGATCCAATCGTTGTCTATGATTGAAGAGGGATTGACGAGGGACTCATATCTAGGCGAGTCTTTGATAAAAGTCTAACAAGGATAGTGATTAAGTGATTAGACCATAAACTAGAGGTTTGTTGTAGGTTCTATGATGAATGTTCGAAAGGCTAGCGCCAACCTCACTTTCAGGTTTAAGATGATTAAATAGGGACAACTGTCATACTCAAAATTTATCCTACCCTTTCGCTTTTTCACCTGGATTATGCATCTTACTAATCATCATGTACATACCATCCATTAGGTCATTTAACAACATCATGCACCATTGATCAATAATTTGGCATGGGATCAAGGATATATTGAGGTATCAGGGATTATTTGTGCTTTTAGGCTCCCATCTTCATGCAAGGTTGAATCAAGTGGTTTATTCAATAATCATGGTTAGAAGCTAGGGTTATGGATCATGGTTATGGTGGATCTTTTCTTCATCAATATACAAGAGATATTCTCCATTTACATTCATCAAAGCCATGGATTATGGTTTGTTAATCATCATGTATGAACTTGTTAATTCAGCAACTAAGGATCATTGAATTTTCATGTTAATGTTATCTTGAGCATCTTTCAAGTTTGAATTTCATCTAAAAGAATTCTTCTAGTTACTTGTTTCACGAGTTATGGCATTATGGTTTTCTCCATAGGAGTTCATGGTGCAAACATGCATACATGGATTTCCTTGTCCTTGAATCAAGACATTCACCCTTATGTCATGCCTATCATGGATTAAGAGGTTTGGTCAAAATAAGTTAGATGGTGTCTCTCTCCATTGAGGCCATCTTTCATCTATCAAGGGGCGTATGTGTTGTTTGGGTAACGTGGCATAATCTCCGATTCTCATACAAGACTTTGATGTAGCACGGTTTGATAAATTCATCTATCATGGAATTATGAATTGAGTTTTATCATCATTTGAGGCTTATGTCATTCTCACTTACAGATGTTACAAATTTTCTTTAAGATTGCATCAAGAGGATGTGAAATCATTAATTTGAGGTTTATGGTGAATCGTCTAAAGAGGCAGGAGTAAGATGTGAACCAAAAGTCATCTCTTTGGATACCATGGTTACTTTAGCTATTGCATTGCTACACTTCTAAGTGAAACACTTGGATTCATTCAAGTTCAGCTTACAGCATGGATGGAGAGAAACAAGGTAAATAGAAAATTCGAATGTTCAAATAAAGCATAATAGAGGGAGAAGTCTTTTCATTGTTTGGAAAGTCAACCAATTTCAATTACAAGAGTAAGGCCCTTTCCAAGTTACAAATGCAGAAGAAATGAAAATTACAATGAAAAGAGCTATAATTGACTATTGACCCTTGAACAACTCTCCAAGATGTTGCCTTGTGTCTTCTTCACTTCAAGTCCAATTCTTTTCAAATATTCCTCATGTTCCAAGCAAACTCTAATTATTTTGTCCACTCTTGCTTATGCTAGCTTGGTTTCCTACTGCCACCATGTTACAAGCCTGCATGATCAAAAGAGTCACCATCATAAATCAAATAAACCGCAAATTATCAAACACATCAGTTCATTGAAATTTACAATAAAATCTACCACCAATGCTTCAAATTCAGATTCGACAAGTCCACCCAGTTCAAGTATAACAGAAGTAGAATTCAACTTTGACAGTGAAACAACTGAGGGAATCAGAAATCAATTGTGTTGATGCAATTTGCATACTGTGAATGCTGATACAATGTTTGAATTTGCTAAGGCAATGCAATTTTGAGCTGAAAACATATGAAGAATATCAAAAAAAAAAAAAAAAGTTCATCGTAAAGCCTCATGACCGCAACCCTGTCCAATTAACAAAACTTCCAACTCAATAAACAACAAAACAAAACAAAAAATCAGAAATAGAAATTAAATCAGGAAAATGCAATAACAAAGTTTCAGTTCTTAAACTAACCTTCAATCCATATGTAATCCTCACCATCCATCGTGATAACAAACTTCCTAAATCTAAGGCTCAGATTCATCTTTCTGTAACTAACTTTTGCAGTTATAACAGAACTACATAACAGGAAAATCACCCGAATCGATTCATTCTCTAATCATTTGGAGAATCACCCCAAAAAAGTCATAGAAAAAGCTCATAAAATTCTCTCTTCTATCTGACTTTTATCATCTTCAATCCTCTAACCTTCTGTATTCAACTGCTTCACTCTCTTCAACCTTCATCATCATCTTAATCCATAAACCAAAAAACTTCAACCTTCATCCATTTTCATCATACTTCAATCATCCTCAAGCTTCTGCAACACCTTCAATCTTCAACAGTCCTTTTTCTATTTCAACATCATCAATGCACCTGTTTCACGTGTTTTGCTCGTCAACAACGCAAATAACAACAACGAAGATGAGACATTGAGAATCACAGAAATGGAGAAGAGGTAGAAGATAAAGTAGCACAAAGAGACAGAAAGTGAAGGAGAAAACTTACAGGAGTCCAAGCCTTTCGCCGGAGTCTCCAGTCGTTGTCGCCACATAGGTAGGGGTTTCATCGCCATTCGTTGATTCTGTTACACCATAATGTCACAAAAGTTGTAACCTACCTGTGAGAAAAACGCCATCGTTTATGGTTCTATAATTTCTTTATTCATTTTTTTGTTTCTTTTCAATATTAATAATAAAAATTTGTTGAGATAAACAAAGACTGGATCCTTGTGATTGAAGTGGATCAGGCTTGCACCTAGTAGGCCCGCTTGTTCTTATTTTTGAAGCCATTGACACAACAATAACCTTCAACTGGATTTTGCATTGGTGGGCCTAGCACCCTGATAGTATTCACCACTCCCTGATTTCCATTTTCACCCCTGAAGCATTCCCTTTCTACTTTCTTTTGTTGATTAATTGTTCTTTTAATTTTTGTTTCAATTTTGTATATTGTTTTGTGTAATATTTCTACATGATTTTTGCTTACTTGTTTACATGATAAAAATGAAAAAAATATTAGAATAGAATTTCAATTATTTTATTAACTTTTTGTTGCTATTTTAGTCATGTTTTTGGTAGATTTTAATGCCAACTTTGTGTGATATTGTGGAATAAAAAGATACCTGGGTTCAAGAATTTTTGAGGTAAACTAAGCGCAATCTCCATTGAAAAAAATTCAAAAAGGCTTTCGGTAGAGTTTTCTCATTGCTTGCATGGTTTCGAAGAGGCAACGCGTCTTCTCCATTACGTATCATCGTGACTTTATTTTATTCCTCATTTCCGCATTGTTTTTTCGATTTCCTTGCCATGGAAAGTAGGACTAGAGATTCATGGTTGGGATTCCTTGCGTTAGGTGGGCAATGATATTTTAAAGACCTTTAAAAGTCAATTCCTAATTGTGCTTATTTGTTTACCATTCTGTGTGTTTACATTTGTGTCAAAGACCTTGATGAAGGCGTCTCATTCCCATTCTCCATTGATAAGTCCTCAAAGAAGGCGAGTGGAAAAGGATCTACAATTGATCTCCACAATGTCTAGTCCACAAGACCTTTGTAGCTCACATCATACGTTGATGCTACGAATCATGCTATTCTTATTATCTAGTTAGTCAAGTGGAATACATGGATCTGTAACCAATCCCCCATGCTTTGTCATTAGCTCGTGTGTTGTGCACATTGACGCTCCAATCTGATCTCACTATTGTCTTCTATCTCCTACCTTGATAATGATATCTTGGTTAGGTGTTTAGTCACTTATGACGATTCACTCTCGTTCTTCTCTTTCCTAGATAACGTGATATCTTGGTTAAGAGTTGACACCCATTATTATTGCCATGATGACATGCTATCATGGTTAAGAACTACATATTCCTCAATCTTGCTTTCCTCGATGATTCAATATCTTGGTTAAGCCTCCATTTATCCTACCTTGATGGCTCGATATCATGGGTAGGTGCCCATTATCCCTTATCCTACCTCGATGAGACGATATAGTGGTTAGGCATGATCCATCTCCCTTTCCTTCTTTGGTGACATGATACCTCATTTCAGCATGTGTTACTTGAGTGAGTGGATACTCCTCAAGCTTTATGTGTTTACCTTTCCATTGCACGATTACATGCTCCCATAGAATTTCTCGATTCAATCTTAGGAAGAAAATTGAGATAGACCTTAGGTTGCAAACCATGCATACCAATATAGGTAGATATTTCCCTTTCATCCTCAACTATATGATCAAATTCGCATGACAACTCTAGGCTTACTTTGCTAGTCTCCCTTAGTCATTTTTCTTTCTCTTTTGCATTCGCATTAAAACTAAAACTTCTTTTTTTTCTTTCAACTTCAAAACACTCTAATAATACAAAAACCATTTTTCAAGGTAAAAAACACCAATCAATTCAAACTTCATTTTGTCGCTTGGCTTTTATTTCAAAACCCCTTTTGAAGGTAAAAAACACACAGCAAACCAAAAACTAGTAAGCTGAACTACAACACTCTGATTCCTCGAAAGGGATACATAGGCATTAGGTCGCGGGGCCTAGGCGAGCAAAACTTTGTAAATATTATTTCTTTTCCCCATATTTTCTTTCACATGCATTCCTCTTAGTATTAAGCTTTAGACATAGATTCTTACACACCCTTAGATAGAGAAAACTTAAGTAGATCCTGTGGAGTACTACAAATGCGTGGGGTGATAATACCTCCCCCTCGTGTAACCGACTTCTGTACCCTTTCTCTTGGTCGCAAGAGCATATTATCCATTTGTGTGGGGTTCTCATAATATCTTCCATTCTTTCGAGATAAATAGAGTTCAGTGCCGACTCTGTGTTTTTTTGCAGTGCAACACCATTTATTTTGGCTTCTTGCAGAGTCTTCCTTATACATGACCTAATTAGGAAAGTGACTCTGAATCTTGATGCACTTTGGTATTGCTGAAGCTTGGAATATTTTTGTGAACGTTGAAGGTGATCAAGGGTTATCTGTTCTCTGGAAGTAGTGTTAGACTTCAGAACCAAGCTTTGTTTTGTGAGTTCCAGATGTAGGAACTAATGTCCTACAAGATGTTGGGACATTCTATCATCATGCATCGAGATTCCTGTTACAAAACAGATGCACTGGATGTCAGACAAATGTGTGTTGATCACATATGTTTAGAACCTACTCCTGACTTGGAAGATGAGGCATATCTGGTTGTATCTAAGATGGTTTATCCAGAAACACATCTTGGATTAAATCGTTTGAGAGATTATCAACCAATGGCGGGCTTCTTGGGTAAGTTTATTTAGGATTCAAGTTAGTAGAAGTGCATAAGGTGAGCCTTAGTGTCCTGAAGAAATTTTTTATCTCAGCCGGTTATTTTCATATATGAAGTTAAAGTTCATATGTGAAGGGAATTCTCTCTGAATTCTAGAAAATCCTTCTAATCAAGCCATGTTTGTTTTGGAATCTTGTTTGTGGCCAAGGAATAGATTCAGTTTATATTGATAGATTCATGTGGGTGTGCACTAACCACATGTATGTACTGCTATTAAGGAGGAGAATGTATGATTCTCAAGGTGTTCATAGCAGTTTTTGAAAAAGAATCCTTAATCTGGAGTTAGAGATTCTTGAGATGTCAGATATAACGTCCTGACATCCTTGTGTTGAGAATTTATTTTTCTCAACTTGGCTTAACTGGTGTTTCTCTCATACAGGATGAAGGTTGTTTGCTCAAACTTGATATCTCTTATAAGGTCTATGAGAGCATTGAACTCTTGTTTTACTAAAGTGAAAGAGACACTCTAAGAGTTGTGTGCAATGGAGATGCATCAGCCTAAGGTAAGTTAATTTTCTAGAAAACTAACTTATAAGTCATAATGTGCTATCTAGTATTATTTGGGAGAAGTTGCGGTACTCATGGACAGTCAGTTTGAAGGGGGTGATGATCATACAAAACCTTGTTTGTGATGGTCTGCATGATTGAGGAAATCTTATGTTTAGGTGTAGAAGAATTGTGATCAAACACCTCAAAGTCAGACAGGTGGTCTAAATTTCGTGCTTAAGAAGAAGTTTCTTGAGGTGTGTTTGATATGGTATTAAAGTTTGATCAACTACTGATGGTTGATCCTCTTATGCTCTCCCACAAGAGTTGTTGTTTGGATTTACTATGGTTATCATCTCCAGAACCATAATATTGGATAAAATCCATGTGACTGAGAACTATGTCGGAAGAGATGTTGGAACATCATTTTTGGTTTGCAGCTTCATGGAAGGAAGCTATATTGAAGATTGATCTTACCGGTTAATCAAAACCTGCAAGTGGGCCGAAGGATGATATTTGATTGGCTGGAAAGTTGAGGAGAAAAGGAGGTTGTACCTGAAAGGCACTCCGATGATCAAGTCAGTGTGGGAGCAAAGAGATAGAAGCATGCTATTAGGGTTTTAAGTGTTAGATAATGAATACCTGACCCTCACATGGGTGAGGGTGTATATAATGTTCCCCCAATGCATAGGCATTGGTTCCTATTTTTGTGCCTAGATATGTGGGTCCTAAAAATAGGCAACTGCCAAGACTAGGTCAAATCGGGCAGGTATGCTCGTAAGTAGCCGTTTGTTCCAAGAAGGAGGATTACAGGCACATGGCCCTTTTGGTCGTTTCCTGGATGTCTGCCTGGCTCATGTCAGGATGATTAGAGACATTCGCTGATCTGGTCAGGAGTGTATGTTGGGTATAACTAGTCGAATGACAAGTGTCGTGGTCGACCAAAGTGCTGGGTCTCTATCATCGGGTCATGCCAAGGGAATTAAAAAATTGGGCCAATTTTAGTCATTGGACTAGTCTAGAAAAGGAGCCCTCCTAATCATTGCTTCTGGGAACAGGAGTGACGACTTAAAATTAACCTACAAAATGGGGGTACTTCTCGGTCGATTTCATACGAGTGCGGGTGACGCTCGTTGTGTTCGTCTTGCAGGGAGAGGAATAGATGATCGATTTCGAGGAGTTACCATGTATCTAAGGGAAATTTTGTACGAGGAGTCCGAAAAATTGCTTGGTGTTTGTTTCCCGGGGAGAGAAACGATAGGTTAGAGTCTAGAGAGATTGCATGCCACACTTGTATCAAGCCACGTGATGTCAGAGTGGTGTGATGATGGCTAGCCTAGGGACTAGAGTGTAATGATGATGCCTTTTAGGGTTACTCCAGAATACGATGAGGATGGGGCTCCTGTCTTGAATGAGGAGGGTAAGCATATAAGTAAACTTGTGCCCAAGTTCCCCTTTCACTAGACCAGGAAGCATTATGATAATGGGACATAGGTTTATGTCTGGAAGAAGGGCTAACTTGGTGTCGAGGACCAATCTATTTTTGTCGGCCTCACTGCTTCATTGCGGGTATTTCTCCTGTCCAGCGTGTGGGAAGAGGGGGAAAATTGGTCCTCGACAAGGACGAGAAGGTGGTGTACAACCTTGGGTTGATAGGTGTCAAGGAGATCCTCGAGAGCGAGGATCCTGCGGTGTACCTGGGTAGTTACTTTATTGATAATGCAAAATTACACTATGTATTTGAATCGACTCACATGAATTCTATTATGGTTTTTGTTTATTTATGTCATGTTATGCCAGTATTTTCTGTTTCATTTCAAGTATTTTCTAACAGCAAGATTCCAGGCGCAAAAGAACAAGAAACTGAAAAGAAATGAGAAAAATAAAGTAAAAAAATAAGAAAAATCTATTTTTGGCATGTGGCCCTCGCCATAGCATGTGTGGCCCTCGCTACAACATGTGTGGCCCTCGCCATAGCTCAATTCCATTGCCATGTTTTCATTCTTTTTTGTTTTGTGGCTCTCT